CAATTAGGTGCATATTAATTTTACGATATTGTAATTACAATTAGGTGCATATTAATTAAGAGTTCCCGTACTGATGATACATGAATTTACTATAAAAAAATAAAGCATTTATTTTTATGCTAAAAATGAAAATCTTTTCTAACATAATGTAGAAAAAAATATTTGAACTTACATTTACATCAAACCTCCAAAATGTCCTCCCCTGTCGTGAAGATACAGCTGATCTTGTTTGCACATATTTTGAGGAACTCGTTTCGAGATAATGGGAGTGATTCCTTTAAATAACGTCAGTTTTCACAACATTTACTGCTGGGGATTATTTTCATAAACTTTGTTCTTTAAATATCCCCACAGAAAAAAAAACCCAGAGAACGTTCAGATCAGGGGAGGGTGGTTGTTGGTCAGCGCAATATATCGTACAAATAATGAAACCATAACCATGCTTCAAAAATTTTTTGGTCATCGACTTGTGATGTAAATCTATTAGGTTAGACCCTTTAGGTCTGGCATCTAAAATGTTACTCGAATCACAAATCTTAATTTCAATTTAAGTTCAGGTACAGATTAAGTAATTAAAATAATCAATTATGTTTCAAAATAGAGTTTACTAATTCTGTAATAAGGGGAATAATCTCAAACAAGCTCAAGTTTCTTTTCGCGAACACTAACAACTTCTATAATATAGAAAAGAATGTGATTACCGGAGTACGAGGCGAGTAAATCCTCCAAATAGTCCATCAACTGCACGGTGTCGGGCCCTAGTCTCAAAAAATCACGTAGACGCGCAAGAAGCTCCCACGTACTCCACACTTGCACTCTTCGTATGACTGTAATCTTCCCTCCAATCAATTTTCTGTCGTTTTTCTACGATTTCATTATATCTACTCACTCCACAGCTAAAGTTTACTTAATTCGCATAACCACGTTTCATTTGGTTGGAAAGAAGTTGGAAACATAAATATAAAGTCAGAAAGAAATCCCGATTTTAGTTTTGGAAAATTTCTCGAATAACGTATGTAAAAGGCTCATCTCGTTCTCCTGATCTGAGAAATCCGTGCCTTTTTTATAAGGATATTTAAAGAACAAAGATTATGAAAGTAACCCCCAAACGATTAATGATCTGATGATTGCTTCGGCTCAAAGAAGGCCAGAAATCGTTCCCAGGATCTTGAAACGCATTTCTCAAAATATTCGCAAACGAGTCAGCTTTGTTTCCAAGAAAGGGCAAACGTTATGAACATTTAGTTGTAAATGTAAGCTCTTTTTTTTTTTATTTTTTTTTTTTCAACTTTATACGTTACGCTTTTGATCATTATCATAAAAATAATTGTTTTTCAGTTGGTTATTTTTGAATAACAATTTCACGAATCGTCACTTTAAGGATATTCGGTATAAATAAAAAAATTCGTCTTTCGCGTTTGCTGATTATTATCCCATACAATAATTATTTTTCATTGATTTTTCTCTTGCAGAAATTTTTAACTGTGTATATCATTATTTTGTGGAACACTTGAAAAGGCTTCACGAAGCATCGATGTTCCTCGTATCACGAATATCGTATTGTCTAAGCCTCTAGAATATCGTATTGTCGATTCGTAAAAGACATTCTATTACGAATTTTCGCATTACGTACTATTAATTCTGAACTGCTGTTACGTTGTTTATAGTTTTTTCAATTTTTTTTCAAAACGATAACTACTTTTGAGAAGCTGAAGTAATTGGCTAAAGATTTAAAATAAAATAAAAAAATTCAGGGAAATTTAAAAAGATTCTGTGTGGAAATATTCTCAATTTTTGAATAAACGTGTGAAACAATAATAAGCAAAGGAAAAATGAAACAAACTCTTCATTCCTTATGTTTTCATTATAGTCTTCTATTTCTCTCGTTATTCCAATTTTATTCCTTTATTTCGGTATTTGTCTTAATTTTTTTCATAATAAATACATTTTAATAAAAGGGAATTTCACCTTATTTTATATTACGAAGTATTAATACTAAATTAGGTAATGATTAAATATTTCTGAAATTTTTTTATGAATTCTTGATTGTGATTCAATCTGTATCACTTTTGGTTGAGAGAAGGAATCAACGTATGTTGAAGGTAAAAAAAAATATATTAAATGAAGTAAAAGTTTTTTCAACATTAATGGTTATTACAATTTTAAATAAAGCTCTCTGCTAATGCTATCTCAGAAATTGATTTACAATATTAACTACATTTAATAAGACCCCGGATTACTACTTTTCCATGTCCTTCTTCCACAAATTCCTGATTTCAAACTATCAGGAATTTGTGGAAGAAGGACATGGATACAAACATTTATACAAACATACATTTATACAAACATTTTTACATTTATACAAACCATAAAAAGAAGAACCCGATAAAATAATTTTACTGCAGTAATTCATTTGCTCAGAAGTTGAATTTAATTTGCAAAAATTTGAATTTTGAGTTTAAAACATGTATCTAAATCATTCAAATTATTTTTGTTCTTATCATATTTTAAAATGAGATTTAAAACTCGAACGAAAAACAAAATTCTTTTCAGAATATACTAAACTACTTTTAAGCAGTGAAAGTAAGCTAATCCATCTTGAAGGTCATTCATTAAACATTGGTTCGTGACGTCATAATAAGCAGGTGAATCCTGAACACATCTACATTCGCCATTCGTAAACAAGCTGTCACAATAGCGAATTAAAAAAGCAACTCGTTTTTTAAGAAAAGCTGTTGTTAACAGGCAAAGAAATTTTAAAAAGCACACACGAATAATAAGAATGCTTCTTTTTTACTTCCTTTTTTACATCATTTTCCAATTCTTTACTGTAATGGTTCGAGATCACATTTAAAATAATAAGTTACTATTGCGATATGGGATCTTTTTACTTGGTTAATCATTATTACTGATTATCACTATTATTATTTGTCTTATAGAATACATATATATATATATATATATATATATATATAAATGATATTAGAGTTTGTTTTAAATTATCTGTATCATAAAAACAAGCATATTTATGATAAATAACTTCCGAAATTTTTTATTTTTACATAAGTACGTATGATTCTAGTAAATATGAGTAAAAATATTAGGGCTGTTTTAGTTTTACTTTATATCACTTAAACTTGTAGAATCGGAACTTACACAGATAATGAAATGGTTGATTAAACGAATCATATATTAGTATGAAAAGTTTATTAAATAACACTATACAATTATATATATAACAGGATATTATATTACACGTATGTTATACGGGCTTCTTATATTATTGGAATGGATGAAAAAATCCAGTAAAGATGATTTTTGTAGCAAAGTCCATTACTAGTGGGAAAAGAGGAAGTCCAAAACTACGACGGCTTGATTCTGTTGAATGGATTTTAAAGTGATCAGAGAGAAATGTTGGCAGGATTAGAACAAGAGGCAAGTTATTTTGGAGGAGTCTCAAAAGAAGGCCTTCGTCCATTCTGGGCTATTGAGTCAAATATGATGAAGATATATGATGATTATGATAATATATAGGGTCTCTTCACTTTACAACTTAATTAAGTTGCGATTAGCACGTTGTAAATCAAACTGGTCTCAAGTAGCACAGTCATATCTCTCAACATTATACTCATTCAAACGGATGGTAAAAATTCGATATAAAACAGTGAAATTCAATTAGTGTACGTATAATTATTGCACATAATGTGAAAATACATAGTATGCACTTTATAGTACGTGCTGAAAACAATGTGCTTTACCGATGTAGTTACATTTACTTGCTATTTTCATTTCTATTTTGTGGTCTTGAGTGCGAATGGTCCTAAATGGAATGAGTTGTAAATAACCAGGGGAAGGTGTAGTTGGTTAAATAGAATGCCATAATTATAATTATAATTACAAAGTAGAAATAATAACAAATGCGCTGTTTTCCACATAGTAATAGCTTCGAACCTCTTAACAATTCACACCCACTGTATTACACACACACACACACTCACATACGAAATGTGGATATTAAATAACCGGACTGACGCTATAGTAGAAGAAGTACGCATACACCAAACGCCAGCTGTTTAGCGTGAGGCTTTCTCTTTTGAAAGCAGTGACTCTCGCTTCAGTAAACAAATCTGTATAGCAGTAACCTTCGTTCACATTAAAGTTACTTTTTGTTCCGCCGGAAAAATGATAAGTGAGCAACGTATTGTTGCGAAATTTCACGTGAAGCTTGGAAAAACAGCTACTGAATCTAATAATTTATGGAAAGAAGTGTATGGCTATGAATGTTTATCTCGTGCAAGTGTTTTGAATGGCTTAATCATTTTCAAGATGGCCGAGAAGACTTTAAAGATGATTCATGTCCGGAACCCTTCAGGAACAAAAAAAAAACAACGTCAAAAACAGATGACAATATCGAAAAAATCGGCAATCTGATTTGATATGATTGACGGTTAAATATTCGTGCGATTGCTGAGACTGTAGGAATTGACAAAGAATCCGCAAGGCAAATTTACATGATAATTTTAACATACAAAATGTGTGCTCCAAAATAATGCCTAAAATTCTCGCATTTGAACAACAA